GAAAGAGTTAAATGCAGATAAGCCTCTTACTGGTGAAAATAACATTTGAATTTAATTTTACATCCAGACTATCTGGTTCACAGCCCTTTCATTCCTACTGTGGGAAAATAGGAACCGGAAAAAAAGGTCCCACCAAGGAAGCTCTTTCTTTCCCTCCTTTTTTTTTTTTTTTTTTTACTTTAAAAGTCTGTGATGACCTAAAGAAAATAACAAACCGAAACTGTGTCCAGTATTTTAAAATCAACTTTCCCTTAGGTCTCAAAACTGCATCTGTTCCATGTGCACTGAACTCAGCAGGACTACATCGTACAAGATGATTAAAACATCAGAGTCTGCAGTGAGGGACACCAATACATAAAAATAAATAGAAAGAAAAATGCATTTAAGAGGTGAATACATATAACTTACAGCTACTGCTGTAACTCCTCTTTCAATGATTCTAGACCAGATTTATACAGTTTATATTAGAGCAAATTGTCCCAAAGACAGTTTATCATTTAGCCTATCAACTAGGGCTTTGAAGGGGCATTTCTACATTCAGCCTGTAATATTACCTTATAGGCAGCTTGTCTCATGAATTGCTTTGCAGGCTGCTTCCAAATGGCAGGTACTGTAATGACCCATCTCACTTCAGTGTTTTCAAAATCCGAGCCTCCTTGGTCACTGAGCTCCTGAATAAAAGGAAAACAGAGGTGAATGCAAAATGATGGGTGACTACTTTATAAGAAAACATTATTTTCTGCTGGCTCTAGTAACAGTAACTCTCTCTTTTCCATTTTTTTCCTGTTGCACCTATGCTACAAATCAGAATTACTTCCAACCTGTCAAGAATGCTCTGTGTGCCAAAAGGTGGGAATAAGGTTGAATCTTTCTCAAGGAGGCCTATAGAAAAGTTTACTGCTTAACATAAAGTGGAAAAGTTAGTTTTTGTAAAAGCAGCTCAGGCACTTTGGAATATTGTGGAACATTTATGTACATTCTCAGTCACAGTACGGAATTTGCTGTTAGGTTGAAGAATTCACACTTGCATCTTGATTAACACACAGAAAAATATTTGAGGTATCACTGATGAACATTAGGTTTTATACAATCTGGAGTTTTCAATGACTTCTTTATACACCACTTACCTTTAAATCAAATTTTTACAACGCAGTTAACAAGGGGAAGTTACAGTTAACTCCTTTAAAAAAAATGACTGACTGCTCCTTCAAAATTTTGCTTTAAGCAAGCATTCAAGACTAGTTTAGCACTTTTATTGTCCTTTTTTCCCCCCCTTAAAAAGAGGAAGTCTGTCCTGCATTTGCAAATTAGGTGATATACTGACATGTTTTTGGAAAGGTTCCAAGTAAAATGTCATTACCATATGTCCTATCTAAACCTCCATCCAAACATAGAAAGGTTCAGAAAGGTGAACAACAGGCCTTTAGAATGTAAAAAAATATTTCTGCATGTGCTGTGCCAAGGTGTTGTGTTTGTTTAGCTATGCTGCAGTTCAAAAATCCATGCTGGAAAAGTAGCACCTTTATACTGCACAGGGCACCAAAAATGGACAGATTATAGTCCAATGTAACAGCTCATTTACATTGCTAGTCTAATTAGTTCCAGGATTCACTCACAAATGCCAGGGATTTAGTTATTAACATCAGGAAAGGATGTAGCCCTGAACAGGCAGCACAGCAAATATGTGGGATTGTACCCAACACCATTCATATTTGCCAAGAATTTCTGCAGTCTATGCACAGGTTCAAGCCTGTGACTCCATAATCAACCCCAAAATATAGTTAAAAAAGACTGGCATTTGAGCTGTGGTAGGACTGTTTCTCTGCAGGAATAGACTGAGATCTCAGAGAAAATAAATTAAACCCATTCAAAAAAGTAGGTTAGCTTATAACAACAAGGCTATTTTAAACAATGCTTGCTTGGATGAATGTTCTGATTTGACCCAGGAACTGCTCTGCTTACGTTGACATTATAGTGGCACATTTAAAGCCAATGTTTACTTAACTCACAATTGACTGTTTACAGGAGATTTTAAAATCTCAAAATCTGTTTACTGATCTGTTTACTGGGGGCATGTATTTCACTGAAGGACACGAAAAACACTCTTGTGATCCAAGAAGAATATTACAAGAAATGAATACTGCAACGTTTCAGATGGGAAATAGAAAATAATATCTATTTTCCCTACCAACACCAACCACAGGAGGGACAAAAAAGAGGAAAAAACAAAAGACAACATAAATGGAGACAGTTCATCAGAAGACAACACCATGAATTAAAAAATTAAAGCCCTAATAGACGTCTGTCTTGGTTCTGTTGGTCTGTTTCTCCCTAATGCTTGTTAGATTTTCTGCATAAACATGCATTCAGGATCAGGCAACCAAGTAACACAGACAACACCAAGCTGGATGGGACTGCTATAGAATCACAGAATCAACCTGGCTGGAAGAGATCTCAAAGATCATCGAGTACAACCCTACCATGGTTACTAGACCATGGCACTAAGTGCCACATCCAGTCTCAGCTTGAAAACCTCCAGGGATGGTCAATCTGCTGCGCAGCAGAACGGCACTGCAGAGGGATCTGGATAGGCTGGATCAATAGTCCAAGGCCAACTGTATGAGGTTCAACAAGACCAAGTGCTGGGTCCAGCACTTGGGTCACAACACCCCCTGCAGTGCTACAGGCTGGGGGCAGAGTGGCTAGAAAGTTGTCCAGTGAAAAAGGACCTGGGGGTGCTGGTTGACAGCAGCTGAACCTGAGCCAGCAGCATGCACAGGTGGCCAAGGTGGCTAGTGGCATCCTGGTTTGGATCAGCAATAGTGCAACCAGCAGGAGCAGGGCAATGATCATCCCCTGGCCCTAAAGTCAGCACTGCTGAGGTCACACCTCAAATCCTCTGTTCAGCTCACTTCACTACAAGAAGGACATTGAGGCACTGAAGCATGTCCAGAGAAGGACAACAGAGCCGGAGAAGGGACTGAAGCACAAGTCTTATGAGGAGAGGCTAAGAGAACTGGGTTTGGGGGTCACCAAATTATAAATGATCTTTTAATAACCTTTGTATTACAAAATAAATTCAGCTCAGGCAACTTCTCTTCGCTTAATCAGTAAAGACAAAGTCAGGCTATTGAGGCACTGAAGCATGTCCAGAGAAGGACAACAGAGCCGGAGAAGGGACTGAAGCACAAGTCTTATGAGGAGAGGCTAAGAGAACTGGGTTTGGGGGTCACCAAATTATAAATGATCTTTTAATAACCTTTGTATTACAAAATAAATTCAGCTCAGGCAACTTCTCTTCGCTTAATCAGTAAAGACAAAGTCAGGCTGGGGCAGAAGACATCAGCAGTTGTTCATTCTATTGCATTTCACAGTGCCAGTTCTTCAACATGAGAGAGAAACTTGCATGGACATAGAATGATCCAGTGTCCCAGCAGCAGAAATGCAGGGAATAAGGACTCAAATTTAATTCCCAAGCTTCACCTCTTGTGCTTTTAAATTTTCTTGTCAAATCAATGGGTTTTTTCCATCGAAAAATCAGTAGAAAATACTTAAGCCAATAAAAAGATATTCGGAACTCTACACCACAGTTATACTATTAGTGAATCCAACCTGCCCTGTGCAACAGGAAATTACTTCAGGCTATTGTGAGCTCTGCAGAGTCCACAGTCTGCCCAGAATTTCTACACCTGCCTTGCTTTGTTTACATCAAATACTACTGAGGTCAAAGCTTGGCAAGGTTAGAAGTGTTAAGCTTATTTATACCAGTTCTAAATACAAAAATCTTGATAAGGAAGCATTACCTTACCTTTAATGCCTGTTCCTTAAAGAACTGCAAAGCATAAGCAAATATCTCAAGTGCTTTGACTTTTTTCCCATTTGCAGCTGTCAGGTCTGTCTCCATGGTAAGATTCTACATGAAAGAAAATAACTGGAAGTTATTAAAAGAAAAAAGGTAAACATGAAATTAGTTCCCACTGCTTGAGGAAAGGGAATTCTCCATTATCCACCTGGTTAGGAAAAAGTGACAAAACTGTTCTGAAGAGGATTTATCCCTTGAATTTCCTGGAGCATGACATTTGCTGCTTATTTTACACTTTGTTTTTAAACACCACGTCTACAGATAACTACAGGCAGAGAGAGAAAGATGGACTAAATATCAAATAATTGCTATAAATGTATCTGTAATTAATTGCACCCAAGCTGCATATGCAAGATATTTAATCCAAGTTAAGAGTTAAAAGCACAGATTTTTGGCTTCCCACCAACACATGGAACCAGAAAACACCTCAAATACAGAAAGTACTGGCCAATTCCCAAAAGCCTAGAATGGATTAAAGACAAAAATGCAATCAGTAGGAATAATGTCAAATTAACAGCATGATTTGCACTTGTAGTTTTGGCAACAAATTCTGGGTGAATTTGCTCCTCTGTGCTAGAGACGAGTGTGGCTCTTACATTCCAATTCTGCTGACTAGATTTATAGGAGAAACCAAACTCATGCAGACTCCCCAAAGAGCTATGAATTTCACCCAGGAAAACCAGGACATGAAGATATAAGCAAAGCAGACACTGAACTTATAAGATCTAGAAAGAAGCCTGGCAAAATACAGTTGCCAAATGCAGGGAGAAGCAAAATGAATCATGTTTAGAGTTTAATTTGCTTAATTGACTCTCTAAACTTAGAAATAGAGCTGCTTCACATCTAGTTGAAAATCTTCAGGCAAAAATCTAGTACTGTTCAGAAGAAAATAATTTGAGCAGCAAATGCTACTTTGTTATTACTTACACCAGTGGTATGTAGCTTCATCTTAAACTTTTCAAAATATAACCAGTGCTTTGACTCAGTGGGATCCAAGTCATGGTAGAAATCTCTTGCTGCATAGCCAAAGCTATGAAACTTTCTCTCTGGTGTTAGGAGGATAGTGGTTGGTGTCTTCTGATTGGATACACCTGGATCTCCACCTTCCCATCGTCTAAGCAAAAAGTGCAACAGCTTCAGTAAGTGATGCTTAAGTTCAGAGCAGCAGAACCCCAATTTACCACGAGAAAAACAAAGTGGTGGCTAATTGCACAGACTGCTTTACCCCTCTACAGACACTAATTTCAAACTTTGTAATACCAAAATCAAGTGGTTTTATTCCACTGTGATCTTCATTTCAGATAGTTCAATACATTTTGTGGTTAGTTGTATAATTCTTAAGGACATAATCATAACTCAGATAAGCACACAGGTTCCCTGAAGTAAGACACACACAATTAACAAGGAAACAGTTTTGTACTTAAACCTTCTAATGAAGCATACACAGTTAATAAATATTGTACAGGAAAAAAATCAACTAATTATCCAAGAACACTACCAACAGAAACCCAAATCTGGCCTATCCAATTGTCAGTCAGACTCCACAAATGCTTACTTGCATAGGATATTTTTCCCATTTTGAATTAGGGACCTGTTCTAAGTCATCAGCACATCACTGTGGAGAAGTTTATTAAATCCCAGTTTCTGCCATAGAATACTCTCTGAAAGAAGACAAACCACTTCAACCAACATCTGATCATGTGCCTCATTTCCTGGACACCTGGAACTCTGGAGACACATCTGCAAATGTTGAGCTCTCTGCACTGCACTCTCTACTCATCTGAAGTTGATGGATTTAGTGTTTTAAATGCCCAAAATGCTGTAAGTTTTAATCTGTCAAAAATGAAGCAGAGTCTCCCAATACCCAAGTATCTTACAGGCACCAAAATATTTCCCTCACTACCGGTGAATAAAACTATCCTAAATTCTCAAGACTGTGCAGGTATCTTCGGGGATACCCAACAAGCACAAAAGTATTAAGGCAAAAGCAACCCAAAGTTTGTTTCACAGAATGGATAAAGAAATAATTAAGAACACTGAATATGGGAACACCCAGGAACAGGAATTGCAGGGGGACATGGCAGGTCAACAACGTCAAACAGTGGAAAGTCATACCAGAGACAGCTGTGAGCTTTCCTGCCTTCTCACTGCTCCATTACAAAAAAAAAGGCAGAATGGAAGAACAAGAAACTCGCATTACTGTTCCTCCCCACCCCATATACAAGTACTTTCAGTATGGGAAACAAACATTTACCAGAAAACATTTTCTTAAAAAGGCATCTGTGGAAAATCTGTTTATGCTCTCAGACATAATCATAACACAGCTCAAACAGGAGCCAAGTTAAGATCACACAGGCAACTGCATTCATTATTAAACTACACGTCGATTGCTTTTTTCTAAAGATAGAAAACACACTTTCAGAATATACTCCTGCCAAAGTCCTTGTTCTGAAGCAAAAAAAGGCTGCCTTGCTCTGTGGCACTTGTTTATGTGGTACTTGATTATAGGAAGATTATGTAGAAAAAATTATTTCCGTTTCGCTCTCAGAAACAGTTGAATCCATTGAAAATGAACTGATCTCCAGACCAAGGCAGATAATAGACATGGAAAACTGCAACCTAAGCTAACCTAGCAAAGTAAAAAGGAATGGTTTTATACCTAGCAAAGTAACAAGGAATACGATCTTCTACAGTGCTGGGAACCCTTCAGACCATTCAGCTGGATCAAACAGAGCAAAATCAAACAGAGCAGCAGCACCAGCAGAGAATAAGATGTCTGAAATTTCTTCAGCATGGAGGACAATTCCACTGCACTGAAAGCAGAAACAGCATTAGGAGTGGAATGATTTCCACATTCGTCCCCTTGGAAAAAACTTTCCTAAACCTCCCTAGCTCTGCTGCTCAGCCCCTGAGCTATGATCAGCTGGCAAGGGCTCTGCTCCAGGTCATTTCTTCTAACCTGCTGCTAGAAATGTACTTGGTCAACTCCAAAAGTTTTGAGTAGGTGTTACAGCAAACATATGGTTCCAATGTGAAGAAGCTGGGATCTCATAGCCCATGAACAGAAAGCACTGCTATTTCACCAGATTGTTAAATCCCACACACCCACTGCAAGCAGAGAGGAGACAGACTGATAGCGTTTTTGCTTGGAATCATTAATGATTCATTCTGAGTCACTGGTGGGAAATGCCATAAATAGGCTGTGGCTAACAACAATACTTCTTTGTTTTTCATTACGATGAGGCACATTTTCTCTTTCCGGAATAAGTACACTTAAGGTGCAGTTTAAATGAAGACAAATTGATATTCAATGCTATGGACTGAAATTTTCAAAGCCACCTAGAGAACTGGATGTTCACTTCCTGATGAATTCCTGATGGAAACTAGACACGATAATTGCTCAGCATGTTCTAAAGCTCTCAGCCTGGATCACTGGCCAGTCACAGAAAGGGCAGGAAGCAAAGAGAAGAGGATGGAGGACTTTACCATTTGCAGAGATTTAAAAATACTCCTGTGTAACATTTTTGTGGAGAGAAGAAGCTGCAAAGGCACATGAATGGCAACTCCCGGCTGCAACACCCTTCTCAGGTAGGGCCCTGGCCTCACTCCAGTTAGTGGAGGCTTCTAGTCAGTAGGGCTAGGACAGCAACACCTTCATTTGAAGTTTTCTTTCATGGTACCAATACAGGTAAAATAATGGTAATAATGCTCTTAGTAAAAATAAGAAGGAAAACCTATTAAAAGCATAAACCTAACAAGCCAGAATTGTTCCAAATTCATGTGGGGGATATTTTTTCAAAAGACAATCAGAGCTAAAAAACTATTCAAACAGAACCAATGTAGTTTTCTGCCTAACTTCAGACATAAGAGAGCAATTCGTAGTCTGGTACAAAGTCGAATATCTCAACAGAGATACTAACAGTGTAGACCTGTTTATAGCCACAGAGCATCTGACTGTGTATTAGAAGTGAAAATGAGACAAGAGGAAAGTTAGTGAGGAAAGGATCATGAGGTTATACTAAGGTCAGAGAAATACCCTTCCTTACACTCCAGTCTGGCTTATAGACAGACTAAAGAGTGATCTGTGCAGAGTGATGAGAATTTGATCCAGAGCTGCAGCACAAAAGTCAAGTAAACAAAGCAGTGGTGTCACCAAAATGCAGCTGAACACCACTAGCAGCGTGTATGCAGAAGAAAGGCAAGCATCAGTCTGCCAATAACTACAATCAAACAGGGAAAATAAGGAAAAGAAAAAACCTGAAGGCTGAAGCTACACTGAAAAGATACCACATTCTCCCTCCTTCTAAAGACAGGCTGCAATTTTTTTCATAACCACATACTCACATTCAGTTTGTTGCTATTTAAGCAGCAGACAAAATATCTGTGACTTCATCTAAGTGCATATAAATCAAAAGGAGTTTTGAAAAACTGTGTAATATCTCATGTATTCCTTCCAAATGAGACATTATTAACTTGTTCTACAGCAACAAACTGTCTTTCATTAAGGCTCTGGCACTGCCTAGCCCCCTGAAGTGATGAACTCATGGCCAGGCTGTTCATATGCCTTTACTCACAGTCTCAAGGTATGCAGCAATAGCACTCACTGTAACAGATACTTCTGCTCCACACCACCATCTAAAGTTAACCACAACTACCTGTACAGAAGCCTTGGGGAACTAGCAAGAGTTGTCAGGTGTGAAGTACTACCTAAGACTGATAAACAGTAACTAATGTTCTGCAATCAAAGTGAAGTCATTCATTGATCATCTAGAAACACGAACACTGATCATCTAACAACCTGGCTCCAAACACACGCTGACAAGAGTGAGGCTACTCCTACATTTAACTTGTAGTATATATATGACCTAACTTTGTTAGATCAACGCTTACAAACTCATTTTTTTATTTAGTACTGGGCATCATAAAAAATAAACACACAGTGAAAACCATGACTTTGTTTTCCTACTAATTACATGACTAGAACCATGATGCTGCTGCCACTACACTCAAACTTGGTGCTAAAGCCCCATATGTTCACTCTTTTCCAAAGCAGAACCTTCTAAATAAACCCATCTTACCCTTCACTGAGACATTTACAGAAAAGCAGCTTTGTTAAAAGGCAGTCAGAAATCTAAGTATCTGGAAAGGATCAACACTAAAGAGGGAAGGTGGAAAAAATGTTAGGAAGCAAAGAGGACCATGCATCACTGGTATGCTTTATTTTAATGTAAACAGTCTCGAGTGCAGGAGGGAAGTTACATTTACTCTGCAGAAATATTTGTAAATTATCCTACATGTAAGCCTCATTATATACAGAGTTTGAACCTCTTAATACCTTTGGAGCTACTGAAGACTTATTTTGACAAATAAACCATTCTTTTAATTGAATTTTATTATTCCATGAGTATTTACATATAAATGTATATAAAAATATGACATACATCATTTGGTAAGTCAGTTTCAGTTATATCTTCCCCCCAAATCCTTCCCAGCCAACAATACTCATTGCTTCCATTGTTTGAAATACCTGTTGGAAATATGAATATATTTCCCACTACCAAAAAAAAGTTCCTCCTTTCTGGGTGTACATACACGAAGTAATTTATTTCATTTCTTTCAACATCAGTATACATAACTACACAAGTCTGAAATCATAATCATGCTACTGTTACTGCATAAGGAAAAAAATACTACGTTTTGAACCAGAAGTAGTAAAATGTCAATGAAGATTTGGAATATACTCTCAGCTGGTCACACAGCACCTAGATTTCAATGTCCCAGTGATCAATAGCAGGAAGCCTTGGTACTCTGGAAGGAGAATCTAGTCTGTAATGTGAACCCAATGGCAAAATCAGGTCCTAACATAAAATTTTAAGTTCACAGCACTTAAAGGACTTCCTGACAAACAGTAGTAATTTCACATAGTAAAATCTCCAAAGAGATTATAAGAACAACACAGAATATATATCAGGCTTGCTTAGGCATAGCTTCAGTGATGTCTTCCCTCATAGAATTATATAATTTTAGAGGTTGGAATGGACCTTAGAGATCATCTACTCACAACCCCCTGCCATGGGCAGTGACACCTCCTCTCACTAGATCAGGTTGCTCAAGGCTCACCCAGCCTGGCCTTGAACACTGTCAGGGCG